GTCCCGCCCGGAACCCGCAGGTGCGAGAAGCTGGCGGAGCTCATCTGGCAGAACCGGCAGCAGATCCGCAGGGCCGAGCACCTGTGCCAGCAGCTGCCCATCCCCGGGCCGGTGGAGGAGATGCTGGCCGACGTCAACGCCACCATCACGGACATCATCTCAGCCCTGGTCACCAGGTGAGCCGCCCGCCCGGCCCCGCGCCGCCCCGGCCGCCGCCCGCGCCACTTGGAGCAACTTTCCGCGGGCGCGTGCGGGCGCGGTGACAAACACAAAGGCAGGGCATTTCGCTGAGAGACAAACGATGCGCTCCGTCCGTCTCTCCCTCTCTGTCTCTCTGTCTCTCTGTCTCTGTGTCTCTGTCTCTGTCTCTCGTGTGTGTGTGTGTGTGTGTGTGTGTGTGTGTGTCTTTTGCTTGTTGTGGTGGAGGTGTCGAACCATATGGGGGAGTGACAGAGGAATTTTAGTCCGAAACTGTTCGTTACGTTATCCTGCCTTTCCTCTTTGTGCTGTCTTTGATCTATTTGCTTGGCTTAGTATTACAAAAAACAAGTACAATAATATATTCCGAGCTGCCTCCCCAAGATTCAGATCAGGCTGCCTCTTTTCGAGCTTTCTCTCTCTCCCTCTCTCTCTCTCTCTCTCTCTCTCTCTGTCTCTCTGTCTCTCTCTCTTTCTCCCTCCCTCTCTCCCTCCCTCCTTCCTTCTCTCCCTCTTAATTTAATTTTTCTTCACTCTGGTCCTGGCATTATTTAAGGTGGTCCTTACGCTAGGACCCCCCTCCCATCTCCGGGTAATTTAGTAGACACTAAAATTACACCTAATGTCCCCCTCTCCTCTCTTGTGTTTCTTCTGTTCCTTTTATTAAATGTTGGTTATTGATTTTCTAAAATCAATGTCTGTTGTGGGGCTTTTTTCCCCCTCTTACAAGTATCTAAAGCACGTTTCTGATCAACTGGATAACAAAAGCTTTGTGTCAAGGAGGCTTTTTTTCTTATGTTAAACAGTCATTTTTTTTTAAGAGAGAGAATGAGATTTAAAGCACGGTTACCAGAAGTATTCTTTTGCAGGGAAGATGTAGAGAAGACTATTTAGTGTGTTTCTTCTCGCCTTCCTCCTTCCACCCCCTGTAGGATTTTGCCACTGATGACCAGCCTGGCCCCAGCATTGAGGTCAGGTCAAAGCCCAGTTCTGGGGAAAGAGAGAGATCCCAGCTTCCTGGGGACCCTCTGGGTCTAGCGGTGGAGGAGTCCTCTTGGGGCTTCGCAGGTGGAAGGGAGTTTCAAGGAGCTGTGCAGCCCTGGACACTGCGTCCAGTTCTCCACCACCGGGCCACTAATCCGGGAGAAGCCTCCACACTCGGAAATGGAAAGTTGCATAACGTATTTTAAGGAATTCAGCCCAGACCCTGCACATTTAACATCAAGTCTGTCTGTTGCTTACAGCTTTTCTAACTTTGACTGTTACCTGTCTCTTTTTCCAAATCATCTGTGAGGAAACATGCTGTAAGTGGGTTACTTGTCAGTGTTTTCATTTGGTTTCATGTGACTGAGCAATGTCCCGGTTTTGAGTAGCAGGTAGAAGAGACCCCCCCGCCCCATCTTTTTCATTTTCTCTCTCATCAAACACGTGTCCAGTGCCTTTTCCTTTGGGAATTGCCAGGATTTATCTGAACTGAGTGGAGTTTTCTTCTTTCCTGGATTCATGGAAAAGATGTCACTTTTGAGCTTGTGTCTTTGCTGATAACACTGAATATGATGATGCTTATCAACACCATATAGAAATTCCTGGAAAGGAATAATGACAAGAAAAGTCGTAGAAGTAGAAGCTAACAGTACAAAAAAAAAAAGAAGATGGTCATCCAGGAATCTAGAACGGCACTTTATATGATTTTAATAAAGTCAGCAGTGTGTGTATAGACTAAGGGGACAAGGAGATAAACATAAAGCACTGTGTATGTGTGTGTGTGTGTGTGTGTGTGTGTGTGTGTGTGTCTGAAAAGCTGGTTGGAATCATGAGTTAGAAAACAATGCTGTGTACAGTTACCAAAAAGCAGAGGAGAAAGACACAGTTTGGAGAAAGTAAATGTACAGAGAAGCAAGAGTCTGAATCCCAAGCTTCCAGATTCTTAGGCGAGCAAGAAGCCTGGCAAAGACAGTGCCAGGGCTAAGCTAACCCAGAGCGGGCAGACAGCCTCCTTTCCCCCACATGGAAAGGAGGAAATCTCTTCCCAGAAAATAAGATGTGCAGGCGGAGTGGGGGAGTGGGGTGAGGGCGAAGGAGGCAAAAAGCAAGTTGCCCGAAGACAAGAATGTGTGTCGGTTTCAAGAAAGTTCAGTCAGATGATCTTCAGTCGCCTGACTCACTTTGTAACACTTTCACTGAAGCTGGAGTGGAGGGGGGAATCCCAGCCCCCCTCTTTATTCCCCTGATTATACCCCACCATCTCCACACAACCTTGGAGTGAGGAATCAACACTCGGACAGGGGGATGCCCCGCTGCTGCTGCTGCTGCTGCTGCTGCTGCTGCTGCTGCTGCTGCTACGGGTGCAGCCCAGCCCGTTGGTAACTTGCAAAGTTTGTTGCTTTGCCCCTGGCTCAGCCAGCTGGTCCTGGGATGCTCCAGCTTCCCTCTGGCCTCCCTCAGAGCCTGGGAAGAGGTGTCTATCTCCCTAGCCTGCTGCCTTCCGGCATCAGCCTCTGCGAACTCACACACAGGCACATGCACATGGTAACAAAAATCATATCTGGAAACTGCTTGTGTCAGAGGAGATGAGTTGTCTTTTAAAGGAAAACTGCGTTAGGAGGAAAGGAAAAGGACATGGAAGAAGGAGAGAAGAGTTGCATTTGCTTTTTCTCCAAAGTTTCTACTGAAGAGTTGGGAACTGTGTGGGGGAGTGAGCGAGCTTTTCCAGGCACCTTTAGTCTGCACAGTTGGTAGAGGGAAGGGATCAAGTCAAATGTTTTCAAGGCTATCTGTCTGGGGAGAAACAGATGAGCAGAAGTGATTTTCCCTGTTTGAAATAAACCCTCCCTCCTCACCAGTTCCTTAAAGGAAGTGAAGGTGTTCCTGTTTCTGAGGTGCTTGAAAGAAAAGGGAATGAAGTCCCCTCCCTCAGGATGAAACTCCCAGCTCTGCAGCCTGAGAGATGAAGCTGGGGTGGGCGACTGAGTGTCAGAGCCCACAGCACACACTGAGGCAGGGAAGTTTCCTTCCGAACACAGTCACCGCAGACTTGGTTGTCTTTGCAAGAGTGGAAACCTTTCGCAAGCAGCTTTCTTCGTGAAGTTGATGGCTCATAGGGAGGCTGTTTTCCAGACTCTGAAGCACTCAGGCAGTTGTGTGGCAGGTACCAATTCTAAGGGCGCTCCAAGGATATCCATGTCCATCCTGTTCTCTCTGTGCAGATCTTCTGCAGGTTCTGTCATGCTACACACATACAAGGCTAGGGGCTGTGTATGTAGATGGATTTATTTGTTTTATTTCGATTTGGAAAAACTAAGTCAGTTAGGGTAGAAACACACATTGCTCCGTAGCAGGTCCAGTAGCCAGGCTGCTGGCGTCCCTAACATGGTCCACCAGGGGTTAAGATAGGCTAAGGGTTTTAAACTTTGCATTGCTTCTCCGTTGCCAAGTAAAAACAAATTCATGCCTTTCAGCATTTATTTTCAAGCACGGGTAAAGCCAAGACAAAAGTTCCCTACTAAACTGCTATGTCATAGATGTCACATGTGTCTATCTGTTCTTTCTCTCCTAATCTGCTTCAAGAAAATTCCAAGAGGTTATCAAAGACCCTAATACCACAGTAAGAATATTTCCTGGGGAAAATGTTTCCTGAAGGTAGGAAAGGA